GTGGAAGATGGTAGAAAGTTAAGCTAAATATAATTTAAAAGCAAACACTACTGATGGAAAAATATTGAAAGATGTATGTAATTATGGTATTTTTTTGTTATTTGTTTTCTTTTTTGGTTTATGAAAATTGAAAGTGATGACACGTATTAATGGAAGATAATAAATCACTCAAAAGATGCAAAAAAAATATTTAAGGTTGCGTTTGAATTGAAAAAAACAGTGTTCTAAAAATCGGCCGAGGCGGCCGATTAATCGGTCGCCGAGGCGGAGGCGGTCCAAAACCTTTACGATTTTAGTGTAAAGGTTTGAAAAATCGGTTTTTTACCTGTGAGGCGGTTTGAGGCGGTCCGAGGCGGTCTGAGACGGTCTGAGGCGGTCCGAGGCGGTCAAACCTTTAAGGCGGGTCAAACTTCGGTGGTAAAAATTGGTAAAAAATCGGTCAAAAATCGGTTTTTTTTTTCTTTTTTTTTTTCTTTTTTTTTTTTTATAAATCAAAATAAAAGTTGGGATTTTTATAACAAAAAATGAGTTTATGCTTTATTTTGTTTATGTTAATTATTATTGTTAAAGAACTAATGATGTATGCCAAGAATGTATGTAAATTCAAAAAAAATTGCCTTTTTATTTATATTTTATAAGGATATTTATGTATTATGATTTTATTATTATTAAACTTTTATTATGTTATTAGAATATATACATGATGGAGATATAACTATGTTTAAATATTTTTTATCTATGTTTTGAGTATTTATAAATAATATCTACAAATATATTATATTAAATTTTAAAAACCGATTTATTTCCGATTTATCACCGATTAATCACCGCCGCACCGATTAATCGTGAGTCGGTCCCTGACCGCCTCCGACCCGATTACCGCTTTTTACAACCTTGGAAAAAAGTGACATATATAGAAAATAATTTTAAACTCGAATATCATATGAGTTAAATTTATTCCACCAATTAAAAGAATTACTTGAAGATTCATTGAATTGTTTTACATGCACAATAGATAAAAATTGACTCCATTATCTCAAACTATATTTAGTATCCAATTCTTAATTTATATTAACATTTAGCTAGTTTTTATTATTTAATCAATATAACTTAATTGATTGTGTGAAAAAAATTGAGAAATAATCGGGTGAAGTCTAGAGGTAAAAATCAGAATGAATATTCACGTTTTGTTTTCTTTCAAATTTTAAAGATAAAAAAGTTTTAATTTCTATTTTT